ATGCATCATCATGCATCATCATGCATCATCATGCATCATCATGCATCCTGAAATACCTCTTTGCTTCTGGAAGAGCGGTTTTCTTTGCCTGTCATCCGGACACACCGGGAATGTTTCTGTCTTGTTTGTTGGAAGGGGTAGCGGTCATACAAAAACGATTGCTAACACAATCTAAAACATTTCAAACAGTTTTCCCGTTTTCTACTCATCTACTCTTTCAACCTGGGATTTTAACCACCCTGGTGATCACTCATTCGATGGGCGGCAACAATGGGCTCGCTCTCCTGCTCAGCTGAGGCCACGGTTCTGGCTGAGATGGGTGGGTTCTTGGCTCATTTGGAGCGGGAGCATTGGGCTTAGACGCGCAGAAAGTGGACTGGGCTGGCTGGGCTGCATCCAAAAAGCACGCAGGACAATCTGGAAAAGAAGTTCCAAAGATCACCTATTATATAATGCAAACAAACAATTCAAACGCAAAGGTTTTCCTGTACGGATTTGTTCTTCAGAAGTCTCCTATGACTCGGTCCTATGACAGATTGAAGGGCCTTGGTTCTCTTTTCCCAGTGAGTTGCACCGGCAACGCTTCTCCTATGATTCGGTCCTTTCGTCCTGTTTCGCCCCCCAAAAAAGACCTTCGAACCTCGCTGATCTCCGACCCAACCGAGGTCTGCAGAGGCCAAGAGTGATCGAGATCGCTTGGAGCGCGAGCTACGAGAGCACAAGGACGAGCACTCTCGGGTGGATCTGATGGACTCGGTCGCCGGTTGCCGGTTGCCATGTTGGGCCGTGCAGGTCGAAGGAGGTCGAAGTGGTCGCAGGAGTCTTCAGCGAAATCTAATTACATCAAATTGTACGACATCTTTTTGAATTTTTCGCAAACCCAAATCGAACTATATAGCAAGCCCAAATCTCGCGTGGACCCGTCGCGGACGGTCAATGATCACCCTCGTCCAAATGTGTAACTGTAACAGCGAAGCAGCTTTGGAGCGAGGAAATTCGACTGCATGAGGTAACATGAACATAGGTCTTTTGCAGGATTCACATGGATTATGGTGTTCGGGCTGACCCCCCGCCAAGGAATCCGTGCAAGGGGCTGTTGACCATGGGAGTGCCGTGCTGACGAGCGTTTTGCGTTGCTCCTGACCCTCCGACCTATGGAGCCTTAGGGGGGGTGGAGCTACGAACGGAGCTCCTGGCAGTGCTACGTAGTAACAAGGGCATCGCTACGAACGGAGCAAGAAGCGAGGAACCAAGCAAGAAGCTACACATCAATTCCTTCAGCACTCTGCGACTTCTCTTTTTGGCACGTGGGTGTGTGAGGTCCCAGGTGCCTGATTCGAAGTCCAAGGTCCCAGGTAGCGGTTGGAGAACTGTCTGACAGGACTTAAGGACATGCTGTCCGTCCCGTGCCTGGAGCACGGGGTAAAAACATGTGCATAATCGCATAGTTGTTTCTCCACGCGTTTGCAGCCTTTCTTCCCCCTTGCCCTCAACCCTTCTCTTCCATTATTTCATACTATTTCCATCATTGGCGCCTTTGCTGGTGCTGCTGCTCTTCGGGTGTGCGATGGGGGAAGACAGCCCACACATCGGTCTGTCCCTTCTTTATCCTCCCGCGAGCCGGAGGATGTGATAGATCTGAAAGGACTGGGCCTCCCTTAAACATGGCCAGTATATAGCTCCAATCTGCTTGCTCGAATGGGGTCGCAAGTGCGAATATTGGGGAGAATGACTTGGTTCCGAGAATAGACGACGTGCCGGTACCAGTGCGAAGCATAGTGGAAAAAATAGACCGGAGTGCAAAACCAGAGTGCTCCATCGATCAGCTAACTTGCTTCCTTCGCCCGCGTGAAGGACTCCACCATGCAGAAGCCTTCAAGAAGAATAACCTAGAAGCGATAGCCTCCAACCTAATAGCATTTCAAGGGTCCCGGAGCAACCATGAGCAACCTGTGTATTGCACATAGCGTGAAGCACTTTGGCGACTCTTGGGACTTTTGAGAGTTGTCAGCATCACCCAAATTCCGAAGGCAGGGCCTGTTGCTCAACAAGGTTCCACTCGTTCGCAACCGATGCCGGATCTGCAGAGGAGTTGATGACCCGAGAGCTGTATGACATTGAGATACTCTTCAAGCTCAAGCAGGGCCAGGAGGGCCGCGGGTCCGCGGTCTTTGTGGTTGAACTGGCTTATATCAAAGCCGATGGTGAGGGAAACAAATCGACGACGAGTGTTCGAAACTCGAAACAGCAGAGGGAATACCCTAAGCTTCATCAACTTTCAACAGTTCAATGGTCTTCTGGGAGCAGGGAGCCACTCCATATGGGAGACACTCATCAAATGAGCGATTTTAGAGTATCTTCGCATGCCCGTTTTGCCAGAAGCATGCTCAATCCACTGTAAAGCGACAAGGGCGACACCATGATAGTCCTGGATCAAAAATGGACACCAAGGACGAGGGATGTTTGCGCAAGGGTTCAGGGTGTTGAGTTAGTCACAGGAAAAAGACACAAAAGATGACACAAATATAATTTTGGTTAGTCAAAGCACAGGAGAAACAACCGCGGGAGAGGTATGACATGGTATGACATGGTTTTGGTGATGTCCTTTAGACAACCAAACTCATCACATCCGCGAGGTTGAAGTGCCACAAGCAGCAGTGGTGACCGACTACTCTGATGCGATTGTCATCGATCAGGAGGCGCCGGAAATGATGGGATGATGTGATGTGGGATATGTGAAAGTTTGAAATAGCTTCCATAGGTTCTTGTGAGTCATTTGTGACTACTGTAAATGTTATTTCTTGGTGTGTATGAAAAGAGGGAAACCTCCCAGTTCGACCCCCTGGAACAAGGAAAATGGACCACAACCAATTGATAACCAATTGATTCGGGTCTCCCTATTACTGTAAAATAACATAGAATAGAACCCTAGTAGCGTCCTTGTTCCTAGTAGTACGGCCAGGAGCCCAGTAGCGAACCTTGTTACTATATGTTATTGCTCACACTTTTGGAAGGATGTGTCATTTTCGACGATCTTCTGGGGTCTCCCACCGTCGGTCCGTTCGTTTAGACGTTGGGGACCCCCCCCTACACGACCGGACGAGAGCGGTCAGAAGGAAACGAGTTGCGGCCCCAGGAGGACTCGGTCCAATTCGACGCGTCGTTTTGGGCGTCTTCCCATTGAACTGGACGTCTCAAATGGCTGTTTCGATCCCCGCGAGTTCCATCTTTCTCAGCTGCTGGAGTGTTCTGTACACTTCTTCCCTGAGGTGGTGGAATCCCGAAACAGCAGGATAACGGATCTTGGAAAGGACAAGGTTCACATCCTGACCAAGATTAAGGAGCCATGTTTCATCGCTTCTGTTTCATCCGAAAATGGGACTTTCTTGGCCACGAAAATGAAAAGGCCCCATCCTGAGGGGATCTCAGATTTTGGATGCGTCTTGCAGGAGTTTAGAAAGTCCTTAAGCTTGCTGGACTGGGAGCACGAAATGCTGGCCTTGCAAACCACCGACCTGGAGGCCGTCGGAATCCTTTCGATGGACCATTAAAAAATGCACTGTTCAGCTCATGGACTCCATGGACCCTTGTATATAGAAGGAGAGGTTGGACCCGGAATCCTTTGGAGGGGTCTGGGGTCTAAAGTTTCACGGTCTTTTTTGGGGGACCAGAGCGGCGAGATGCGAGACGACACTTGGGGGGGCACTCAGATGAGCCACGCGAGATCCCGAAGCGGACTGTGGAGTGCCAGGAGCGGACCAAGGATGTACATATGCTGCGCGTAACCAAGGAGCATTCCGCCACAAAGGGGTCAGTCTGGCGAAGACGGGCGAACAACTGGGCGGGATAGAACTCAAGCGCATCGAAGCGCGAAAACCATGCATTTTATACACTTGTTGTATTACCATGTATTACCATTGAGATCCATGGAGAGACATGCAAAGAAATATAGAACAAAGACAGCAATTTGGGTGGATAATGAAGGATGATGAATGATTGTCCTTTCATTTTGAGGAACCGGGTCACACTGGGATTCTCACTGGGATTCTGGGCTTCCTCGCTCGCTAGGACCTGCAATCTTTGCTCAAAGGTGGCGAGGAAGGCAAGGCGCTCAGTCCGCTGGCCTTTGATGCAGGAACTCTCCGTGTTCGTCAGAAGCGCGACGGATATGAGGCAGAAATAAGGCCGAGTCTGACTTGCTCGAGAGTGCCGGGCTGATGTTTTGCGTTGGGTAAACGAAACATGAGCAGAAAGGATTGCAGCCTTCTTTTAAAATCAATCAATGTAAATGTAAATCATATGTTCAATGGGTGTGTCTCAAACGGAGGACATCCTTGAATATCAAATGGGCTTCAGTAGATGTTCTCGTTTACTGGTGATATTTTTGGAGGACTCCCTACGTTGCGTTGGAACACACCTGTCAGCGATTCCATCAACTACCCTTTCGAACATGTCCATGTACCAAGCCGGGATGGTACGTGTAGGCCAAGCGCTTCAGAATTCCCGTACTGGAACACTCAGTTTTGCTTGTGATTGGAACACTCAGGAAAAATCGAGCATGTGAGTGAGGCGACTGAAAAGAAGGAGCAGGCGAAGCCGACGAAGCGAGATGGGTCAGCTGTATCCAGAAACTCATATGAAAGAGGCTTTGGCTACAGATGTTTGCCAGGGCATCCAGTTACCATTATTGCTGGTAACCGGTGGTGCCAAAGACTAAAACCATAGACCTAGAATCCCTGGTTCCTTATATAGTGGCAGCTGAGATGCACTGGGTTTGATATATATATATATATTATATTCCTCAAGTGTTGTTTGTTTTCAGATTCGCCTCGCAAGCAGTACGGACTGCCACCCACCACGGAGGCGCTGAAAAAACAGCACGCCATGCTGGCTCATGCGGCGAAGCTCCGACTCTCGGCAAACAGATGCTGTTCCTCAAAATGAAGAGCCAAAGGCATGGGATGGAGACAAAGCGGCCGCTTTTTTCCGAGGAAAGAATGAGAATGGCATGTTGGAGAAGCACTCCTGTCCTGTTTCCAGCGCAAGCTGTTCCGCAGAAAAAAAACTCCATCGCCCGCCTTGCCACCTGTCTTGGACCTTGCTACTAGTAGCGATGCCCTTGTTGCTAGTAGCTTCTTGTTCCCAGTCGAATGCCAGGAGCTACTAGTAGCTATTTGCTATTAGGTTCCCCTAAGGGACGATGTCCGAAAAAGGCTTGCCTGGCGACGTCCGCAATTCCTTAGTGGACGTGTTCGATCTGAAGCTATGGTTCACACACGGAGGTTTTTGACCTTTGACCGCCCAAAAAATAGCACTCCGCCTGACCCGACATCGATTTTCGTCCCACCTCTCCGCCACTTCACTGTGAACAACCTGACTTCGTTACGGTGGCAAACAGCAGGAAGCTGCGAGAGCTGCAGCAGAACGTGATCCAGCGTGAGCACATCCGGCGTTTGCGGGGCCCGGCCGGAGGCGGCGGTGGAGCTCCGCAGAAGACCGGTGGAGGCGGCCGTGTGGAGGCAGGTTCCGGATAAAGAACGGAGGAGAAAGTTCGAGGGTTGGAGTTTTGCTTTGGCTAGCAGTTGTGATGTTTGTAATCTTTTTCCACAGATAGCTGCAAGCTATAGGGGTTCTTACCTCTCAATGGTGTGGCTCTGGTGCTGGTGCTAGTGCTGGACGTTTTGTTTGGGTGTGTCATGCCTGGCATGACATGATGTCATTCTGGGCATGACATGATGTCATCCCGGGCAAGACATGATGTCATCGCTGCTTTGGAGCTTGAGTGCTGGTGCCGCTGCTGGGTGCTGCTGCCATGTGGGTGGCCGTGTGCGTTTTGGAGCTTGGGTGCTGGTGCCGCTGCAGGGCTCCGCCCCCAAAATCTTTGGCTATCTGGGGTCTATGCTGTTGTGTATATTTTTTGGGAGGCTACATGATGATGCAGAAAGCAGGATGTACACGATTGTGCATGTTTAGAAGATTGGAAATTCATGGCAGATGATGTGTTTGGGCGTCAGGAAGATGAGGGTGCGGCGAAAGCAGCGCGAACTGCCTTCAAAGAGGTGACAGCACTCAGGTTTGACGGCTTGAAACACCTTCAAAGGGTTGAACATGATCTTGCTGTGCAATCAACTTCTCCATCTTTGCTAAGTTGCGAAGTCGTCAAAGACTTATGGAGGCTGTGCCGGCCTTGGCTTCGTGGAGTTTCATAAAACTTGAAACCAGTTGTGGCTGCCATGTGATGGTTTGCCTTTCCGTTTTTCCAAGGCTAAGAAGAATACGGAAGAAATTGAGATCCTGCACAAGGTGCTGAAAGATCCCTTCACTCCCCCGCTGAGACTCATGAGTCAGAAAATAAGAGTTCGCTCGTGAGCTCTGATTAGACCCAGGACTTAGGCTGTTATGAGATGTCATGAGTCATCGTCAAAAAAATGAAGACAATTTCACATTCAATCCTCACAGGAACCTTCCAGGGGTTTCATCCCCTCCGTTCATGAGTGCATGTTCTGGGGACCGACCCCTCCACCCCTCTCCTCCATTCGTTTTCTTGTTCTGAGCACGAACGGAACTGGTGAACTTTGCGGCCGAGGAGCTCGACCGATTGCGACAAAGGACGTTCCCATCCTTTGTCCAATTGCACGAGGCGGGAGGCCATTTTTTCTGGCCCCGTCTTTCATTGTGCGCATTAAGTGATACAGAGACAGACATTTGGGGTAAGCATTGAATGATATTGATATAATATAGACGACTTTCCAGGACAGGTCAGTCAACCCTGACTTCCGCTGAAGCCGCATTTTCCTAATTTTACTGAGTCTCTGTAAACAGAGCTCTCAGAAGTTTGTTTCACCAAAACACGGCTTGAAATGTCAGAGCTTTTGCGGACCTACACTTACACCAAACTGACAGCCAGCGCAACATCACACGAGTCATCCTCTGACAAGCTATTGCGCGGCTCCCCATCAAATTCCAGATGGCCAAACTGGTCAACTGTAATTTGCCTGGTCTCACATTGCATGAGGCAGAGGAAAAATGCGGCATGCCGGTTTCATTCTGCTTTGATCAATCAGCATTGGGTACAAGACATTGGTCGCCATTCTGCTTTCATCAATGTGTCATGCGTCGCCGTGGATAAGCTGCGAAGATCCGATAGTAGCTCGGCGCGGATTGACCGGCCCTTTCTTTGTTTCAGGCAGACACCGTTGGGCTTCTTCGTTTATTGGGTTGCACCTCCAACGAGTCCCTGGATGTGGATGGAGATTGGCTCCTGGAAGGACCCATGAACTACTGTAATGAAGACTCTTGATGAACAATCCGATTTGACTTCAAAAATCTTCTTCACATGATTTCATAATATAGGCCGGGGGTTTATGAATCCATGAGTCAACCATGGGGATTCCTGTCCCCTTCGGTTTCTCCACATGAAGATCTCCAAGGGTCGGACGCCCGTTTCGCCGCGACGTTTCGCGTTTCCTGCGCAGGGGCCAGCTGCTTGGAGATGAGAATCGAGAAGCCATTTGGCGGAACGGATTTGCACTTTTCAGGGCAAAGGATCAGACGAGACGAGTCCGCTCCGGCCATTGACAGACGGATCGACGTATCGAGGGCGACAGCCGGGGCGACCGGTGGTCGTCGTTTTGGGTGAGGGACTGGGACCCACAGCATCGCACCAGTGTGATTGAACACAATTGAACACAAAATGCTGATCGTTGGCTGCCTCTTCCGTTTGTGAGGTGCTGGTTTTGCTCCAGCAACATCTATCCCGGCCATGGCATCATGTGCTCCAGACATGTGATTTCTCGCTTGATCCAGACATTTGCGAGTGCTTGGATTCCTGCATGATCCCTGCATTGCAATCCAATGTGTTTTTTTTCCTTTGCCCATCAGGTTTGTGCGCAACGATTGCAAGATGTTCAGGTTTTGTCGTCCCTACCTGAGTGATCCAGTGCCGTGGTTTTTTGCCGTCGCAGTGCCGTGCGAAGCGAAGAATGTGCCAAGGTTCCAAATGCCACAAGCATTTCAAGATGAAGCACAATCCACGGAAGCTCAAGTGGACCAAGGCCCCGGTTTTCTGTCAAAGCATGTTGAAACAACATTTCTTCAAGACGAGGCCTCGCTTGCTGAGGGGGTAGGTCGTCCTGGTGCCACTTGTGACATGCGATACATGTCCTGAGTCCTGAAGGCCTACAGACGAGCCCGTGGCAAGGATGCTTGTCTGCTACACTTGAACAAAAACGGCTGGCCTTTTAGGTGATGCTATATGTATTATAAAGCATCATTCATGTTCTCTCAGTTTCCTGTCAGGGCTTCTTCTGCCCCTTTGGTTTAAGCATTGATCTTCTTGTGACGTACATGTTTGCATGAATCTTCAGGAGATGGTCGTTGACTCGACCTTCAACTTTGAGAAGAAGCGCTTGACCCCAACAAGGCCAGCGCTTGACCGGACGTGGTACGTTGGCCGATGCCGCCGTTGGCATGGAGCTTCAACCTGGCAGGTACAACCGCAATTTGATGATCAAGACCGCTTCCTCCCCAGACAGTTTCCGTCTTGCAAGCAGACGCAGTGACACTTTCCTTGCAGTGACGCAGAATGATGCAGTGCATTTCTTTTGAAGCATTCTAAGCCCAGACTCGAAACCACGTCATAAAGCACTAGAGGATCTAGAGAGCTCTACAAGAGCGAAACAACTTGGCACAGTGTTTGGTTTATGGAGAGTCGAGTCCTGGTTGATGCCTTCAGTTTGCAGACTCGGCCCTCTCACCTTCGAGTTCGGATTTCGAGGTGAGAGCCATGCAAATCGTCGAGCGCATCCGACAAGTTCGCAAGGAGTCGGACGCCCCGGTCGCGCATCGAGGTAGGTCGGTCGCGACACCGAGCGGAGCGGGCCAGAGGCAGCGCCGGAGGCAGCGCCGATCGCGCTGAGGCGATTTCATAAGGCCAGATTGGCCGGACAGCTCAGGCGAGGACTGCTTGCGTCCTTGTTCCTAGTAGCGTCCGATCGCTCCCAGTAGTACGGCCAGGAGCCCCTAGTAGCGTCCTTGCTCCTAGTAGCGATGCCAGGAGCCCCTAGTAGCGTCCCTTAGGGGAGTGCCTTAAAGAGATATAGATATTCTGATTCTGTGATTCTGAGATATTCTGAGGTATCTTTGACATAAAACATCATCAAACCATTAACGTACCACGCATCGACTTTTTTTGCTCGGCCGAGTGATGGATGACGCCGGCTCGACGCGAGTTAATTTCTGGCATGGAGCTGAGCCGAGTGATGGAAGTGATGGGCAGGCAGAGACAAACAAGTGCACAGAAGGAAGTGGCATGGTGCTCAGACCCTGCGAGGGATCTCCAACTGCTGAACATCCTCCATGATTACGCATGGAAGGTGAGTAAGAGCCAGTTAGGTCTCTGTAACAGACAGAGGTCTGCAAGGGCAGCCTTACATGATTGTTTCAGGGGTCCTTCCAGTGTTTTCACAACGAAGGTTTTCCGGCAGCGTGCTCTCAGGCCAGAAGTGCTCATCTCTTGGAAGGGCCAAACAAGGAGAAGGCATTGCACTATCAGAAGGACAGAGCCAAGGTTTGCAAGTGGTGATGAATCGTGGTGTTCATTTTGGATGTTTGTTTTTCTCTGAGACTCTGACATAATTGAGTTGTAGATCGTTTGCATATTGTACGTAATTGGAACCATCGTATGATTTCATTCCATATGATTTCACATGATTTCACCTGGTTTCATACCTTTCATTTCTTTAAACTAAACACAATCCATGTTCTTTGGCATGCCATGTGGCATGCCGCGTTCCAGGAATTTGCCGGCTCCACGAAGGCCAAGAGCCGGCAGAAGGTCAAGGTGCAGCCCAATCTCGTTTCGTCGGAGCTTGGTTTGGTTCACCGAACATCAAGAAAACATGCCCTCTCAGTGTAAGTAACTCCTGGCAGGAAGACGGCAAAATCATGGAAGATTCAAGAACAAGTTGAACAAGGGATAACGGGATAACTATATGATACGATATAGGATCCTATCAATTAGATAATATTATATATATATAGGAGAAGACGGGATAACTGATAACTGTTACAACGGCGAATTTTCTTGACCATGAGATTGTTGGACACAGACGCTATACAGTAAATTAGGATCAATTATATAATTAGTCAATTGGGATGCTTGCCAGGTGGAAAAGACGGCAAGTGGGGCCATGGAAGTGGAGGAATGAGCAGAATTGTCTCCTCCCTTCTCATGTACATAAGCAAGACAAAGACCATGAGCTTGCCGCGAAGGAGCACCGTGCCACCAAGGAAAAGCAGTTCATTTCGAACTATTTTGTGTCAGCTCCGATTGTTTGTAGACCGGCGCTAGCTCCGGATCGATCCGGTGCCAAGCTCCAAGAGCATTGGCTTTGGAGTGTGAGAGATTGGCGATCGCTTGTGCCAAACCATTTAGCTCAACGCTGTAGCGGTGAGTCAATTCGACAGCCAGTGTTTGGCAAATCGGCTCACAACTCCAAGATCGTCACCGCAGGCAGGTTGCGCCTGCTGCAAGCCGGTAACGACTAAGCAGATTGGAAAAAGACTTCAGACACTCGCTCACGAATCGACCCTTGGTCGGATCGACCCTTGGTCGGCTCAGCTGGCTGTGACCGAACGTTCGTGCTTCGTGACCTTTTTCACCCCTCCGAACGATGAACCCCATCATCCGAGCGTCGTCGTTCTCGAGTCACAGGGAAGGAAGGAACCATGCCAACCGCAGGCATGTAACAAGCAAACGTCAGAGGTACATGTCACCTGGGGGCGAAACGTGTGAGACGGGGCGAGACGGAGCTGCTACATCATCTGAAAAGACTTGCCAAGCTTGTGGTTCAAGGTAGGTGTCGGTAGGCAAGATATGTAATTTTTTCGGCAACCGCTGCTGCAAGATGCAGCAAAATGCTACCATGGTCAGCCCGTGCCTGGTATTTTGCTTTTTGAGTTTGCTCTGGGCTTGTCCCATTCCCGCTTCGAGTTTTCGACTCCTCTCAACCAAGCCATGGACTATTGGTGGTAATGACATCCGGCGCAATGCATGTTCAACAAGAGATCTTGCTTCTTGTAGCAGCTTGGCAGGTTCCTGGGCGCAAGCCGCCTCGTCGGAAGGAAAGTAAAGTGGTGGTCCCGTGCGGCCGCCTAGAAGGGACAATGTAGCTCCGAAACGGCAAACTGTTTTGGATTAAAAGGCATAAACCTGAAAGCGAGAGAGACGGGACATGAGAGGTGAGACAAGAATATCGTCCCAGCACAACCAACCTTTGAAGTCAGTTCCTGCTTTGTCATCAAGTTTGAAGCCAAATAGGATACACACAGCATTGACATCAGGCACAGGATGATAACACATCATGAATTTTTCAGACAGGTTAGAACGAGATGACACACAATAGACAGAATCAGGCACGACGGGTGACCAGTCGCAGGGATCACTCACCTCGCAGCACCTTCCTTCGCACGCTCAGGTTGACCAAGTCTGACGTGATGCGCGTGACCGCCGCCGAAGCGCAGCTTCAGTCCCCTGGACCGGTGGGACCGTTGCTTTTGGTCCTTAGGTCCTATAAGGTCCTTAGGTCATGTTTAGGGGAGTTCATGGGTGTTTGGTTCAAAACTACACTGCTGTGATGCAATCCAAGGCCATTCCAAGATGAGAAGTTGGAGATCTATTGCCGTGAGTCGGGGACTCGACATGGAGCTTCTAACTTTGTTGAGGAGTCATGGTCTTCCAGTGCGAGCAAATTGAAACCACCATCACAAGGTAGTGTATTTACGTGTACTTTGTGATTGTTGTGTAGGTACTTCTAGGTACTCCTGTGATTATTGTGTAATCTGTTTGTATTGCTTTACATAGTGGTGTTTGATAGTGCTTGTGGATTTCTGGAACCTCATGGTCCCACGGGAAAATGACGGAGCACCGCTGAGGCATGAAGATATCGCAGCTTCCTTCCAGGAGGCTCGAGAGGTCTGCAACAGCGACGCTTATTCGGTTTCTTCGCGGCATCTTTTGTTCCCTTGGCATTCGACTTTCAACTTGCTGTGCCAGGGGCGAGGCGTTCTCGCAAAGCTCTACGTCCAGAGAAATAAGGAGGTCCGCCGGTAGCTTTTGGTGTCCTGTGCGCTTTACAGTAACAAGAAGCTATATACTAGTAACAAGGGCATTACTACTAGTAACAAAAAGCTACTAGTAGCGATGCACTTGTTCCTAGTAGACTTGCTTTGGTGTTTGAAGCCAGGCATTGAGTCGATGGATGTTCTGCATTTTGGGGGATTGCTACACTGCTACACCAATGTTTGGCTGTGTCAGATCCTGGACCGCTTGGTGGCGGAGCGTAGCAAGTCCGACAAAGACGCCAAGATGAACTTGGATCAACTCAAGGCACCTGGCCGTACTACTATAAGAGCAAAGACGCTACTACTAGGAACAAGGACGCTACGAACGGGGCAATCTCATCGACTCGACTCGACTCGATGGACAGTTCCCTCGTCCCTCGTGTCGCGGATGGTGTTCCACCGAACCGGACGGACAGCGTCGGATGTGAAGCGAACGTGTGAGTGAAGCGGGTGTGAAGCGGCTGCTGGGTGGTGCTTTCATGCTGCCAAATCCGTGGTGCTGGGTGTGTCGAAGAGCGAAATGTCCGGCTGTTTGGAGTTGTCCAACCGTTTGGAAGTAGATGACACATCATGACTCATGATGACACTATGATGTCTATGATACATCACTATACCATAATCTCAACGAAGGATGTGTTGGATTGAATGTGTCACGGCCGATTAGGGTTTAGGGTGCATTTGCCCGGCCTCCCTTGTCAACCCTGAACCACGTCACTGTGTTGAGCGGCAGAGAGCTTTGTGTTGCGTTTGCTTCGACTGTCTCAAGAGACTCAAGAGCCGTGAGCCCAAACCCAGCAAGCGAGTGGGCCCATGGGCACAGTCGCCAGCAATTCCTGTTGCGAGGCGGACAAAGGAACCAACGAGGAGTTCTGCGTACCGAGGACTCACTGCTTCGATGCGGATGCAGACGATTCCGCTGCCATCTCTCCCAACCTATCGCCCGGTGTGGGCCATATGTGGAGTGAATCTTCGATGCAAGTCGGCCACAAACGCTCAAGTGTTCTCACACCAGACTTGGAGATCATGCGGGGCATCTCCTTGAGTAGTACCTTGAGCTCGGGGGGTCATTTGTGGCGATACTCGCCCAAGAAGTTCTCCACGGAACAACGAATGGCCTTGTATTCAAAATCCAAGCCAGTGGAAAAGCTGGATATCTTCATTTCTCACACCTGGTGGACGCCAGGATGGCAAAAAGCAGCAGCCTTGTACCTTCAGACTGCCTGGCCCACTTTGTTGGTCTCCTGGCTACTGGCCATTTCTGTGGCTTTTGTCCTCTCAGTGACTCGCATACTGCCTATGCCCTTCATCTATGAAGCCAACTTGGTGGGCTCCACAGCTCTTTGCCCTTTTGGATGTTGGATTCTCTGCTTTGGTATCTTCCTCCCACTCTTGCTTTCCGCCGTGCTCCTGCACCTCAACTGTCACCGGTCTCCCCTGTGCTTTGTGGACGTCGCCTGCATCCACCAGGAGGATTCGCATTTGATGCGCCGCGGCGTTCAGGGCATCGGAGGCTTTTTGGCTGCTTCTCGGGAGCTCCGGGTGCTGTGGAGCCCTCCCTATTTGCCGCTCGGATGGGCGAACAACTCCCGGTGGTCCGGTGGTGAAGCGTTGTGGAAGGATGTGGAAGGTAGATGAGCACATGTGATGAGCACGTTTCGGATGAGATGTGGTTTGTTTCATGTTCCATGTTAGACAATTATCTTCTTATGGATGAGAGTTGGGGAACACCCTGTTACTGGTTGTGATGGAAAACATGGGGACTCCCCAATGACACTTGTAGTCACTGATGAACATGTCCTTGGGTTGAGTCCCTTTCGGGAACATGGTGGTGCAGGGCTAGCGGCTAGACTAGCATGGTCTAGACCTATGTTGCGACCAAATGGACCGCACATGATCCAGACATGTCGTTTTTTTGGGGGTATATATATATATATATTGCACATGCATGTCATGCATATCATGCATATTGTTCACCAATGCTTTGGTGTTGCAAATGCATGCTTGCTCTGACAACAAGCATGATTCCAGACCCAAACAAATGCAGCTAGGAGGAAACTCACGCAGAATGTGGTTCTTTGCACGCATTTGGCTGATGAATGGGATGGAGTGCCTGGTAGCAGAGCACAACAAATCCCGGTGCAGAAAACCACAGCGCAGAGACGCTCACGCACTGGCAGTGAAACAAAGACATCAAAATAACACACACATACCGTGTGTGTATATATATATATACACACAATTATACACACTCACAAGCCAAACACCTCATGTTTCTTCAAGCTGAGGTCTCGACTTTGGTGCGTCTTCGAGTTAGCAGCGTTCTCAAAGGCCAACAGCAGCGGACAGATTGTCCTCGCACCTCTCTTCGTGGAGACTTCGGTGTCTGGATGGTACCAAAGACTTGTTGACATGCCTTCGAATCTGTCCCCAATCTTAATTCTAAATGGTTACCGTATCTGACTGTATCCTAATTATTGCTACTTTACCGATTTTTTTGGGGGGTATGGCGAACCAATCGGCAACCAGGTGTGGTGTTTGTGGGGCTTCCTTTGTGTGTCCAATGTGCTTTTTTGGTTTGCACGCTCTGGACGGGGTGGCGCGAGCATTCTGGCCTACTTCATCGTTTTGGTGGTCATAGGCAAGGTCCATCCGAAGCGTTTTGTTTGGCCACCAACTGGGGTAAAAAAGAAACACAAACGAGCCCAAAGCACACTGTATTTTCAGTGTGATTAATCTGGACGGATCAGGAGTTCCAGAGAGAGAGAGAGAGAGAGAGGAGAGCAACATGCAGTCTCATCACATGTCCCATATTTTGCACTGATGGCATGTTTTTTTTCTCTTTGGGGTGACTGGTCTTACAAGCACTTCCTCGAGTGGTGCCTGTTTATACATAATATCTCTATACAGTATATATATATATATTGTAATTGTTAGATATTGTTATTGTTGTTATGGTTACTATTGCTATTATTGTTGCATATTATTGTTCTTACTAGTATATATTGTTATTATTGAAAAGCCTGATTGAACCCACTAGCACTTAGTCTCCACTTCATGTTTGTCCGCTTCGCTGTCGTCGAGGTCGATAGGTCCATACCCGGCCGTGGGTCTCGCCTGAAGTAGAAACTGCTGCACGTAAAGCTGAAGAGTGAAGCACACTTTGACAGTCTTTTATATCTTATCATACGTCACATGTTCATGCTTAAAACAATCATACATACTTCTACTGTCTACCGTAATTATACCACACACACACACAGTCAAGCGTCACATTTTCATGGTTTCTCAATGTTTCTCACACAAAATCGGACACCTCTTCCAAGCAAAGCCTCTTCCAATTCTGTTCCCCGCAGGGAATCTGCCACGCCACGTCAACGGTTGCGCACGACTCTACCCCCAGACCCGAACGCCATAAACGAAGCTTTGCAGTGTTGGACTCATGAAAGAAAGACCTACACTTTAAGACAGCAGAAGGAATGCAATGCCGGAAGTGGCAGTGGAACTTTGCCCTCATTTCACGGACGGATAGCATGGCACATGGTTTCTTTACAAGATCCAGTCCTTTAATGAAAGGATCATTCACGCGCATCCGAAGACAAACTCTTTTGAGGAAGGCATATAGGAAGACACAATTTGGGCAAAATTGACGGCTTGCCTGACTCAATCCAACGACCATCATAGGGAACCTATGGTCTTAAAGACTCGCAGCTCCTATACCCAGTTATGTTGCACAGGCGCCCCACGTTGTTTCAATCCCTGAGAACGGAAGGCACAGAAGCTTTGAAGCCTTCCCTATTTTCGGGGCCATAAGAATCATCAGGCATGAGTTCTTACGTGATGTCAGGCCCCACAGCATCGAGATGTTCCTTGCACTTAGCATTTCGAGCTTGATTTGGTTGATAAATCCCATGGAGTGCACACGTTGTCAGGCCCGGCGACGCATGGTTTGCGGAAGAGCTACTTATCCAAACAAAGACTCCTCGAAGATCTGAAGAAATTTGATTTGGACGAAGTGAAGTGTTACAGCGAAGCAGATCGAGAGTTCATCCATTCGGCGATCACTGATTGGTATGGCAGTAGTGAGGCCTTCACCTCTTATGTGCGTGGGCCGTTGAAGAGAAAGATGCTGGAACCGATTTTGCATACCCAGCTGCCGCTGCCCTACCTCCTTTTCTTGCTCACTCCCACCTTCAGCATCAGCTTTGAGACCTTCTTGGCGCTTTGGATGGGACGCGCACCGGTGGAATCCTTGGTGGCATGGGCAGTGGGCATGATGCTGGGCAACAACCTTTTGTGGCTCCCTTTGTTCATGGTCCTGTGGATCTACCTTTGTGACCAGTTTGCGCAGCCTCGCTGGCCCGGTCGATGCTGGGATGTGCTGCAAACGGGGGCTGTCATGGCCGTGTGCTTCCTCTTTGCTGCCTTTGTGAGTCTTGGGAGCAACTTCTCGGTGGCCTATGGCCCGGTAGCGGCCATTTGTTGGGCATCCTCGGGGTGGCAGCGGTGCTTGGTGTTCTTATAACCAGGCCCTTGCGATTCCGAAGAAGAAAGAATGCATTTCTGGTGATGGAAGCGAAGGTTCCTGACACAGAGATTGCAGAGATGGAGTCGAATGCATGAGGGGAGCAAACCCAACAGAGCGTGCTTCGCCTCAACCTAGAGCCAGCAACCCTGACAGAGCTAAATCTAAGTTTTGAGTCACCTAAATCCTTGGTGTCCAGTTGTTGTTTGGCCTTGGCCGCATTTTCCTGGGAGCGGCAAACTGTTTGAAACTGATAAGTGTAGAGGGACTGATTTGCTTTTGAAAGTGAATAAGAGATGCAGCCATCTTTGCTTTGCGTGTACATGTGTTTGCCTAGATAGTTTCCTGTTGTGATTTGGAGGACTTTTGCAAAGAGTTTGTTGACACAGTGGCCGAAAAAAAGAAAGCTTGGAGGCAGAAGTTTGTGGGCACCTCAGCCGTGGAACCATGGCAATCATGAGAACGAGAGCATCGGAGTGATGAGGGAGTTGTATCCAAGGCTGATGATTCAAGAGACATCATAACGCGCTCTACAAGAATGAGCCTGATTCCCAGATCTGTTCAAGATGTTTCGAACCTTGTGTTGATTTCTGTATGCATCTCTTAGTATTCACATACCAGGTGATACTACTATTGCTTCCTTGGATGCGGCCATCCTAGAGGAACATGAGGACAGCCACTTCACAGGTCTGACCAACCCCACTGGTTGTTTCGACGAAAAGCCGTCTTTTCACCCGTTTTCGACTGATTTGACGGGCGAGGACTGCTTGGCTCATGCTGCTGCCGAGACTGAGCCTCTGCTTGCTGCCCTCAAGCAGCCAGAGACTTGATCGCGCAGCCGCTTCGCCGGCGTCGCCGTTGGACTAAAGAAGACTTCTGTTGGTAGTGGTCCAGCTTCCTAAGAACGCGCAACAGAAGGAGAGTGTACAAGCTAAAGGAAGTGGACCTCGATATACCTTGTATCCAACCTGTACTGTTGTACCTTCACAAGCCTTCGGAACCTTGTCCAAAGAAAGCCGTCAACACGCAAACCAGCGGCGCAACTTGTTCCACGTAGCACGGTCGCCACTCAATGGCGGTGCAGGGCAAAAGGGTGCCCTATGAGGGGATTTGAGCATGAGCATCAAACGGAAGGAGACCACATGAACCGAGGCTCAACAAAATTAGAGGAAACAAGTCCCAAAACCGACAATTCCCGCCGTAGTGGTCTCCTAGTTCTGAAGTTCTGCATAGAGGAAACCGTGAGTCGACAGTTCGTGTTGACAGTTCTCTTGAGGCACAATGAATTCCTTGAGGCGCAGGCTCGGCCCACGGAGGGGTCCGACTGGTGGAGCAATTCAGAGGGGTCCGGGGTCGCCGGATGCTGCAAACCACCTCTATTCATTTCTATTCATCTTGAATTGGTGAGCTGTGGTCCAATAAACTAGACTGCAAAAAGAAGGTTGGATTTACATGATTGAGTTCCCATTCAACTCTGAATTCTTGATGGGAGAGCTAGAAGCGCTAGAAGCCTTCGCATGCGAGAATTGGTGGGTTCAGTCCAAGAGCTTTTGTACTGGAAGACGGTCCGACTCATGGTCCTCCTTTTTGGATCCAAGATCTTTCAGTCACCGTGGCTTGGCTCCGTGTAGCTGACCTCGCTCAGATTGTGGAGCGGACCGAAGAGAATGATCGATTCATGAATGACATGCAGACGCGCTTCCACTACCTCAGGCCGGGCGGCTGCCGGGGTGAAACCTGGCAGGAAGTTGATTTGACCTGGCAGGAAGAGAGTGGCCGAGGAGAAAGAGGTAAGGCTTCCGATCTGGACGTTGGGTTTTTGTGTAGTCTAGTCTGCAAGAACCGTTGGATCAATTCAAAAAAGCAAGAGCCATGTGAAGACTCGTTCTTTGATTTGTTTGGCCATTTGTTTGGCCACGCTGGAACGGGTCGAGCCTTTCTCGTCGTCCCAGGTCCGACGGGAACGGGGCCACGAGATGCGGCAACGGGCCGAAGAACGTTTCAGCGAGTGACGCGCTGAGCGGCTAACGTTTGGGCCATTCGTTTTGCTCTTCCACTTCGTGGAACCGGAAGTGGAGATGTGGATGTGTCAAAAGATGTGTCAAAAGATGTGAACACCACAAAAAGTTTGACACCACCCTGGCCAGGTTGGAGGCAAAGGTTAAACAGAAGGACACATCAACTGAGTCACAGAGAACAACCTGAACAGAACCCTCAAAAACTATTGTTTGGCATTCCAGGAACAAGTTTGAAGAGATGTCCTCTGCGCTTTTTCATCAGGAGCCTGAAGTCCACAAGAGCCTGGAAGAAGTAAGGGTCAGGCTGGAAGCAATGCCAAAAGCAGTTCAGCACGAAAGAATCCACGAACAGAACTGAAAAAAGACGCCCGTGCTGGCATCGCTTCCTCGCTTCCCAGGTTAGCTGAAGAGTTGGAGATGAGATCTTCAAGCCAAGAGAGCATTGCATGAGACCTACAACTTCTGTAGAACCCAATCTGTGATGTCAGATTCACTCGTTCGCTTTCTCAAGACATCTCAGGACCAGGAACCCCCAACCCCCCAAAACCGCCCAACGCCGTGTTGGGCTGCCGTACCTACCGCGGCACGGATGGGGCTCCCCTGAGGTGCAAGAGATGATGCGCATCATGCGACACTTCGAGACCAGCATCTCCGAGTCGGGCAAGCGTCAGTTGAAGACTAAGGACAGGCCCGTTTTTGGTGATGCCAGGCACCTTATGCACCACTTTTTACTGTGGTCTGCACGGTTTGCGCTTCTAAGAAGCTTTTTTCCAGGCTCATCTTCAAGCCATGAAGAGAAAACTCAGAGAGGAGGAGTAGAAGGCTACACAACCTAGGTCGCGGAAGAGGTGCTGGCGGGCTAGTTTCGATGGAGCTTCAACCAGATCCAGATTGGACCAGACAGAGGCTTCCGCAAATTCAGGTCTCACCTGGTTCCAAATAGGAACCAATGAAGGCCGCTCTAGGCTGTGCCTTCCAAAAAGCATGCACATGCTCGTGTCCTCTCGGACAGTGTTTAACGTTGTGTGTCACAGAGGAGATTGCACGCATGTTTACTCATGTTTACTCCAAACAAACTATGTCAATAGGGATGAGGTCCCAGTATAGTTGCTATACAGGTACATGCCATATACCATTTTGGCTCAAGTGCCCAACCAGGTAAAAAGGAGCTTTAGCGCG